CAGGAAAGACTTGTCAAAAAGAAAAAAATATAAAAAAAAAATGAAATTTTAAATTAAGTTTATAAATAGGATCTGCTGACAGCTTCATAAATAGCTAAATTGCCTGGGAAATCTCTTGGCAACATAACTTCAAATTTGTCCCAGGTAGGATAAATCCCTTCTCTCTGGAAATTCCCACGGAACTTCATTTGTACCCTTCTCAGGTCAACATTTTCTACAGTGCTCTTCCAAAATATACACTTTATCTTATTATGCCATATTGTAACCCTGTGGAAGAAAAAGATTTTATGATTTATCTCTGCAGCTCACAGCAAACATAATAGTCAAAGAAAAGCCTAGTTAATATTCCCTTATTTCTGTTATGGTAGTTTAGTCTCCAAGATGGGCACTTCACATTAAGACATGTGAGCCTCACAACAAACTTACGTTTTGTAGTAGGTTATGTAACTTAGATTGCTATGTTATTTTATGTCAATTTTATAGATGAGAAACTGAGGATAAGTGAATTGCCTTCGGTCACTCTGCTAAGCTGTAGAGGCAGGTTTCCATCTCATGGCTTTTGAAGATTTACGCGGGGCTCCCTGTGATTCCAGAATATCCCTCTTCCCAGAGCCAGTGTCGGGCCCGCCTCCCCGGGGGCTGCGTGACCCCACCAGGAATCCCCCCTTGGCCTCCCACAAGCGACAGTGGGGCGCAAGAGGCGCCCGAGCCGCTGAGCCGAGGGTTCGCACCGAGTGGAGGCGGCCAAGGCCCACCGAGTGGAGGCGGCCAAGGCCCGGCCTCGAGAGCCAGGGTGGGGCAGGGGCCCACCTGCTCAAAGCTGGCTCCTCGTCGCTAGGCTCTTCAACCGCGTAAGGGTCGTAGTCGTCCAGAAGCCGGTTCATGGTGGCCTACAGGGGCCTACACCCTCCTCAGGCGATCAGCACCCTCTGTTTACTCGGTACAACCAGTCCCTAAAGCATCTCTGACGCCACTTCCGCCTGCACTTCCGAGTCCTCACTGCGCGCCTGCGCAGACCGTCCCAGTGCTAAGGTAGGCGGAAGAGGCGGGTGGAAGGGGCGGGTCCTAGTCCCAGCGCTGACCTCCACGTCTACTACCTACAGGAAAACAACGGCTACCTTACTACCAAAAATAGTAATAATCGGCACTCTTGTAAGTGACAGTCTCTGAGATGAACAGTCTACGTGCAGTGTCTCACGTCACCTACGAAGCAAAAATCTCGATGCTGAGGGACACGTACGTGTCCCATTGGGTCCTCAGACCCCAGCGCCCCACGTCCCTCCAAGTCTTCTGCCTGCCTTTCACCGCGCGGATCTCAGCCTCGCCTTCATGCTGTTCACTCCTCAATCTGACTGCGGCCTTTGTCTGTCGAAAAGTTGCCTATTTTCCTCCTCTCCCTAGTCCTAACTTTTGCTCAGCCCTCATCCGACTCCATTGGATACTTGAGGAGAGGAGGTAGATGACAGCCTCTTGATATGGAGGCAGCTTCCTCTCCTGGTTCTGTAACACACTATATTCAGGTTTATGCCTCCTACTAGAACATCTCTCCCCTCTTCCTCATTACCCCATCCAGATGATTCTCCCCCATCTGTATCTGGCCCCTGTCCTCTCTTCCAATACTGCCAGATTTCCGGGCGCCTGCTAGATGTCTCCACCTGATGCACCACTGGCAATTCAAACCCAATGTGGCCCAAACCCAACTCATCATCTTCCACCCCATTCCTATACCTCAGGCTTTAGCTACTTTTGACTCATGTTATTTCCGCCATCCTTACAACGACTACAGACTGAAAGTCCCTGAATCTTGGCTCCTTTGTTCCTCGAGGAGCTCTCAATTCCCAAGCCTTGTAGATCTCTTAGCAATGTCTCTCTCAACCACATCCCATCTTCCCAGCCCTCATCTTTGGCTATTGATACGGGCTCCTAATCAACAGCCTCGTTTGCTTTCTTCCTCTCCACTCATGCTGCTCTCCACTGGCAGAGTGATCCTCTTCCAGAATAGCTCTGCTCTGAATGATTCCCTCCCTGAACAAGTCCTCATACTTCACCTTTACCTGCTGAATCTGTTCACCTTAGCCTGTGATATTCTTGGTCTTCCACAATACGGTTCAATCCATCATGCCAAACTGATTTCCCACTACACTCCCCACACATATCCAGCACAATTTGCTGATTCCAGAATATATGTTATGCCTTTCCACTAGGCTTTTGCTTATGCTAGTCACTGGAGCACCCTCTCTTTTTTAATTCTAGTGTCCAATGTCCAAAGATCCATCTGCAACTTGAAGTGACTGGACAGAACAACCCTTAGGACATCATTCAGCCCTGAGATGCTATAGTTATAGGAACTCACACTGTGCATTTTCTATAATGCTTTTTCAGATTTTCCCTCTACCTGCAATTTTTCTCTGCTTTTAACTCCTGTAGCATAGCGTACCACTCACATGACATGTATTTCTCTGGTTTTTAACTATCGTTCCACCTAACCTTCTTGAGAAGTAAATATTCTCCCATGAGTCACAGTGATGTGAAGGAGATGCCTATTCAGGAACCTATCTTTCCTTTTCTGGGAATCATAGCTCTCCTCAGGCATGTGCCCATATGTTATTGTTCATTCTGCGCCACAAAAGTTGGGCCAATTACATTCTCACTCCCATGAATTTAAAATTACGAGTTAAAGATTCTGCTTGGCACAGTGGTACACACCTGTAGTTCCAGCCACTCAGGAGAGTGAGGCGAGAGAATCACTTGAGCACTATGCCAATCAGGTGTCCACACTAAGTTCAGTGTCAATATGGTGACCTCCCAGAAGCAGGGGAAACACTAGGTTGCCTAAAGAGGGTGAACCAGCCCAAGTCAGAAACGAAGCAGGTCAAAACTCCTGTGCTGGTCAGCAGTGTGATCACACCTGTGAATAGCCACTGCACGCAAGCCTGGGCAACTTAGTGAGACCCCCATCTCAAAAAAAAAAAAAAAAAGTTAAAAATTCTAGGGATCTTGGCTGTGGTCGCAGGACTTGTTACAGAACAAGTAAATGCTGGGGCTTAGAAGGCCATGTGGAGGGTGGCTATTTGGGGTTATAATGTGCTGATAAGCAAGGAGACGGAAGAGTATAGAGCAAAGAGAGAGAAGGAGGGAGGCTTTTCCTGACCACCTTGTCTAAAATTTTAAGCATGAAACCTCTTCCTCCATCCTATTTACTCAATCTTAGTCCAACTTTTTTTCCCCTTTTACTTCATATTACTTGTTTGCTTACTGTCTCCCTGTTCAATTTCCTTACTGCTATACAAAAAACAATGCCCAGAATGTAAGCTTTGAAACAACAATGATCATTAATTTTGATCACAAATCTGAAATTTAGCAAGGATTACTCTGCTCCCGGCTGTCTGGGGTCTCTGCTGGAGACTGAAACTTTTTTTTTTTGAGATAGAGTCTCACTGTCTTGCCTGGGCTAGAGTGCCATGGCGTCAGCCTAGCTGACAGCAACCTCAAACTCCTGGGCTCAAGCGAACCTCCTGCCTCAGCCTCCGGAGAAGCTGGGACTACAGGCGTGTGCCACCATGCCCCACTAAATTTTCTGTTTTTTGTAGAGACGGGTCTTGCTATGTTAGCCAGGCTGGTCTCGAACTTCTAGCCTGAAGCTATCCTCCCGACTCTGCCTCCCAGAGTGCTAGGACTACAGGTGTGAGCCACCTCCACCCAGCCCACTTTACACTTATTGACCATCTGTGGCCATTTTACACTTATTAACCATCTATGGCCTGTGGGACACAAGGGTGAAACAGGAGGACACCAAGTGATAGGGGAAAAGCTCTCGTTTACTACTTACTGTACGAGTTTAGTACAGTATTCCAAGATGATCCTGTGGGACCCCAGAAGCCAAGTTTATGCTGTGGGAAGCCTGGGGCTTCCCTCTCCCTCTGGGCGATGCTTCATGCCCTGAGGGCCAGGAGGAAGGGGAAGCTACCAGGCAGTGGGGATGGCCTGGGAGGGGGGCGGTTCAGGAGGAGGGGTTTATGCAGTCAGGGGGAGGATGGCTGGAGTTGAAATTGCAAGAAAGTGGGTCTACGTGCAGGCCAGTGAGGGAGGCTCAAAGGCTGGGTGAGATGTCTGTAGCGGGTTTGGAAAGACTCGTGCAATATTCTTGCAGTCTCCTAGTAAAACTCTAGAAATTGAGCTCAAACTGATGTCTTTGAAGTGAGCACAATGCAGAAAATAGAATGAGTAAGACAGAAGGGGACGTGAGTAGTTGGTTTAAGAGGCCTGGGGAGCACAGCCGGACAGGGGGACAGGTTGCCATTCAAGGATTTAAAAGGAGGGATAGAAACCCTACTTGAATCTTACCTTGTTTCTGGGTAGAGATCAGAAAATGTCCACCTCCACCCACACCCCTCCTCTTTTTCCGTTGAAATGTCATGCAGCATAAACATTAGGGGAGAACTCTCTATACGAGGCAGGATTGGACCTTGGCTAGAGATGACTAAGACAATGAGCAGCTTAGACAGGCAGAGCTTGTTTTTCTCACCTACCCAGAACGTCGGGGGAGGGGGAAGGGGTAGCGGTTTGGGGTTGGCGTGGCTGTTCCCCAGGTTATTGGGGGTGGGGGACCCGGGGGCCGGAGGCTCCTCCTCTCTCTGCTCTGCCATGCCGCGGTGTAAGCTCTCCGGGGCGGGACTGTGGCCTCAGGGTGCCGAGTTGGCTGCTACACCTCCAGGCCTCACAGTCTGACTTCCAGGTGGAAAAAGGGGGTACAGGGGAAAGACTTTCTTCAAAAAGAGGCTTGGCCTTTTTATTCCCCTGGAGATGTCCTCCCTGGGGACCTGTGTCTAATTGGTCAGAACTGTGTCCTGTGGTCAGGAAATTGAGCTGGGCATGTTGGTACTCTGGACAAAATCAGGGTCTGTGCGTAAGACAGGAGTGGTCGCTGGATCCCCTGCAGACACTGCAAGATGATTCTGGCCCTGAGAGTCAAGCTGACCTGTAACCGACTGTAATTAAAAAAAAAAAAAAAAAGTAATTCTTTTACAGCAGAAGTAAATAGGCTGAGCTGACTAGAGGCCACCTTGACGACAGCAGCTGAGGAAGTATTAGACAAAGATAAACTGAGGGACAGGGGTGATGAATGGCTACCAGTGGCCAGATCATTACCGGATCAGATGACACCACGTGCACATGCGTCTCGGTGGCCGTGAGATGAGGGGAGGCTTGGATAGGGCTTAGGATGGTCAAACATTACGACTGGAGGAAAGTTCCATGTCAGAAATGGTGACCCCAAACATCACAAGAGAATCTTTGTTTCCTCCTGGGACGTCACATGTTCGAAGGCGGTCAGGCGGTTCTCTTCTTCCAGCATTACTGAAAGACCTTTCTAGATGGCTGGACTCTTGCCTGGCCTCCCAGGGGCCGCTAGAGAAGACACAAGTCCCCTGTTCTCCAGGGCCTCGTAGTCAGGCCATCGTGGTCATGACACATCTGCCTCATGACACATCTGCCTCATGGATCGAGTGTGGTTCCGGATCCTGGGATATTTTCCATCTTCTCCTCATTGCTTAGATAAGAATCCCGTGCCGGGTGTGCAAAGTAGTTGTGCATCCATGCCTAGGGGGCTCAGACTCCTCTTTCGCCAGCCAGCCCAGTTCTACCACCTGGCCAGCTTGGGTCTCCGGCCCCCAGCTGCTGCTCGGCAACCAGCACGGAGCCCCTCCGCCTGGCCTGACCCACCCGGGGCTCTGAAGGCGTCCGTTCTTTCCACCACCCATTCAACTCTCCGTGTCTTCTCTCCGCAGCTTTAAACACAAACTCGCCGGCCGCGCCCATCTTCCTCCTTTCAC